CATGGATAAAGCAAAGTTTAAGATATGGAGCAAGAAAAATCAGCTGATACAACTAGAATGCTTTATATTATTATCTACTAATTGTTTCTTGGGTGAAAGATAAAGCATATAACGGACTCTGTGAAGATTAAATTGTATTACTCTCTCATTTCAGTCCTTATGATTGATGTTGAGAGGCCAATGTTTGTGCTCTGGTCAGTAAGACCTTGTTCCATTAGTAAAATTTGGTTTTAAATCCTCTCTAAGTCCAAACTTATCATTGTATATTATCTAAACTGTTGACCTACTATTTGACTATATTGTTGTTGTTAAGTGCCGTCGAGTCATATTGCCTAATTATTTCAGGTGCCGTCTTCAACCTGGTATTCTGGCATTGTATTAGACGCAGTCCTTTGTTGTTTTGAACTGCAATAGAATCAATTAATATAGTGCCAATATGAGTCAGCACATAAGAGAGTCAGTTTCAACTCCAGGCGATTCCACATGTGCAGAGTAAAATTGCTCCATAGAATTCCCAAGGTAACCAAAGTTACCTTTCAGCAGGAGCCCTGGTTGTGCAGTGGGTACATGCTCAGCTGCTAACATTTAGGTTCAGTGGTTTGAACCCATCAGTGACACCGTGGGAGAAAGATATGGCAGTCTGCTTCTGTTATAAAGATTTATTAAGACTTTAGAAGTCAACAGAGCAATTCTACTCTTTCCTGCAGAGTCTCTCTGAGTCAGCATCAACTCAACAGCTGTAGGTTTGGAATTCTTTTGGTTTGGAACTTGCAGAATCAGATCACTCACCAGGCATGTCTTTGAACATGTTCTCTGTGTGGGTTCGAATTCCAGCCTTTGGGCTAGTAGCTGAGTGTTCACCATTTGTGCCACCCAGGGACACCTAGACTCAGCTCTAGAGTGCTCAAACATAGAAACCATGGCATGAACTCAGGGACTCCTTCAGTTTTCTACAGCCTTACAATCATATGAATAGTACTTGTCAAGTCAATTTCTATGGTTCAAGTAAATGGAGACTCTGTGTATGAAACCGAGAGTCTGGAACCTTTGTAAGATGCCAAGATAGATTTAAAGAAAAAAAACATTGTTTTCACAGTGCCCAGTGAACTAGAAATGAGGTTACCAGGCCACCAGTGGAATTAAATCAGCACAAATAGATGTGAAATAGGGCAAGCCTCACATCTCCCAGGTTTTCTTGAAAAAAAGAAAAAAAAAAAAGTTTTAACTACATTTGACCTCCATAACTGTTTCTGTTTTGGGGTTTTAATTTTATTTTGTTTTTAATCAATATGTACTTTATCCACCTACAAATATATAAAACAGAGGGAAATTGCTCAAGTTCATAGCTTCTTGCTCAGCAGTATGATTCAGTTGGGCATTTAAAGAAGTCTTAAGTTACAATATATAATGTGTACACAAGGGGCTTCAAAAAGTTCATGGGAGACATGGAGAGATGGAGCAGCTGGGGACTTTAGACACAGAGAGGGAGAGGGGCTGTGTGCTGAGGACCGGGGGGCAGGCTTGTAGTGTATACCCTTTGGTTGGTTGATGATGCGTGGAGGGGATTGTAACCATGGCAATGAAATGATATACGATAGGATGAATGTAAAACTAATGTTCTCCTATGTAAACTATCACATAATTCACAATAAAACATTTAAAAAATAAAAAAAAGTTCATGGGAAAATCGAATGAAGAGATGATTGAATTTTTCCATTAACTTTTTGAAGTCCTCTCATATAAATTATTGGATGAGAGACTAAAAAACAATTATGAAATTTTGTGAAATCAGAGATTATTTTGATAACTTTATTTACAGCCTGAAAAGATGTGTTTGTCACAATATTGTATGAGATGAAAAGCTGCATAAAAGTGACTTCAAATTTAAAAAAGGAAATCAAAGGAAACATTTTTATTAGCTGGGACCATGCCTGATATGCCAAAACTTAAGAGTTTGAGTGATGCTGCTTTAGAATGTGTGGCTTAGACTTGAACTTGAATCCTACCTTGTTTTGACATGAATGGATCTTAAGGGCTGAAAGACAATATGCTATCCCTGCAAAGCAAGTTTTATTTCCTTTTGAGTGACCTTTTCTTTGCAACCTTTCAGAGGTTTGAAAGGTTTAAAAAAACTCATTCTTTCAATTCTCAACTTCGAAGTGGAAGTCTAGAACTAAAATAGTTCTAAATGTATATGCACATTGCAGCCCACATGGAAGTATTTGCTGCCAGTGCTCTTAAACAGAATCTAAGCTCTAACAGCATCAGTGGACATGATTAACCCTACAACCCTCTCGTTACTCCCACTATCCTCTTTCCCTCTCTCTTTCCACCCTTCCTCACCTTCCCTCCCTCCCTGCTAGCTATCTGAGGCATTTGTGTTTTGAGCAGCTTAAGAACATTGACTCATACCTTAATACCTCACAGAAGCTTGAAAGTGAAAAGAAACAGCCGTGTCAATGTTTGGTTCTACCAAGTTAAACATCCATGAATAACCCTTCATTGCTAAACACTCATTAGCCCTTTTTGTTGTTAAGTGCCTTGGAGTCAGTTGCAACTCATAGAGACCCTGTAGAGGGTTTCCGAGGAGCAGCTAGTGAGTTTGAACAGCTGACTTTGTGATTAAAACTGACCTTGCAGTCCAGTGCTTATTCCTTGGGAAGACCCCCATCAAGATGGCTTGGCAAAGTGGCAGTATCAATGGGCTCAAGTGTGGCAACAATTGTGAGGTTAGCTCAGGACTGGGCAGTGTTTCCATCTGTTGTACATAGGGTCACTATGAGTCAGTACCAACTCATGGCCCCTAACAACAACAACAAAAGAGCTGAAAGAAGTGCCTAGTGTTAGATGTGTATTCAGAGGCAAGTACAAACATTAAAGCATTTTATTCTTGCCTCTGAATGTGAGAGCAATTTGCTATCATACATAAACTATTGGAAAAGAACAGTAGTCAAATAATTCACTTGTGGCTAGCTTCTATTCATGAGCAATACTCCTGTTATGTCAGTGAGTCCTTTAAATTCGTATCAGAAATTAGTAAGCATGTGGCTTTACTTTGCACTTCCTTTGAGAATTAACTAAGATAGCAATCATTAAAGAGAGCGTCCTGAGTGAATGGGCTAGATTTCCAATTTAATTCATCAACATGGAACGGGGTGGCATTTTCTGAATGAAGACCTTGTAAACCAGAAGTCATAAGCTGGTGACTCACAAGCCATATGATTTTTAATGACATACACTAAGGAGCTCTGGTAGTGTAGTGGTTACGAATTGGGCTGTGAACCTTAAGGTCAGTGGTTCGAAACTACCAGCTGCTGCGCGGGAGAAAGATGAGGCTTTCTACTCCCGTAAAGATTTACACCCTCGAAAACCCTGTACAGGGTCGCTATGGGTCGCAACCAACTCGACGGCACTTAACAACAACAACAACACTAAAAATAATTGTTATCAAAATTTTAAAATGTAAGAACATTTGTATAAAAATCGGGATTCACAGTGTCTTAAAAACTTTTTTTTTTTAATCAGAACATGTGGCAGCACATGAAATTGTGCCGAAAACTCAGTAGCCACTTGTCCCTTGAGGGGATACCTGGTATGCTTCACTCCGTGTTACCTATGTGGTCTTGAGGGATTTTAACTTTCTACCTCTGGGGCTAATCACCCAGGAGACCAAAAGTTAAGTTATGAATTGTTGTTTTAAATGTGCACAGATTGAAAGGAACAATAAATTAGGTTTTATTCTTTCTTATGCCTGCACAAAGAGTGACCATTAGTGGCATTTTCATATATGGAAAAGGACACTTGCATGTAAAGTAGAGAATTTTATACTACGTACCTGAATAAATCAGGCTTACAAAGAAAATCCAGAAATGATGATATATAAAAGTAAAATTTGAGGTTTGACTTATTCAGGGGTAATTGCCTGAGTTTTCCACCTCACTGTTTCCCCTTTTCTTTCCTCTCATAGACATCATCTTCAGAATACTCTCTGTCAAAGGCCATACTCATAATTCCCCTGGCTTTTTTTTTTTTTTTTAACTCATTTGCACTCTTGGTAGCAATTGTTGGAGCCCTGCAGGGGAATAATTGCAGGGGAATTAACCTCTGACATTTTTCTAAAAATAGCCCTAATAAATTCAATCATAGGTAATTTACCTGTCCATGTTCCTCCAGGGGTAGCCAGCATTGAAGAAAGACGTGGCAGGCTGGCATTCCTTCAACAATTATCTGTGATCTCAGTTCCTGATGCCTGTGTATATTCTTCACTTAGAAAAGCCTTGTACAAATTGTCCTTTCCCCTCTGACCTCGTGACCCTGTTTTCCCAGAACCCTTTCCTGCAGTTGTAATAAAACCATGCTCTTCCAGAGGGGCGTGTTATGCTCACAAGACAAGGGGGTGTATGAGTCAAACTGGAGACTGTGCAACCCTCCTCTAAATTTACAACTCTGTAGTCCTCTCCAGCGATTGCTTTGTGTTTTGGTCCTTGAATGTCAGTATCTGAGCTCCAAGCATCCATCCCAGTCCTGTATCAGCACAGCCTTCAGTCCTTATTTGAATAGCCATAACTGAAACTGCTTTGGAGAAGTTTCTTGGTGTGGAAGAAAGGGAAATTAAATGAAAATAATAATAATAATAATAAGGCTGGTAGTGGGTGAAGGGTCAGTTGTTGGTAGAAATTAGCAAAGAAAGTTGCCATTTTCTTGAGCCATAAAGAAATTCATTTTCTTTTACCCAGAACAAAGGAATCTGAAGGTGTTTTCCCCTTTTGTTCTCTCCACATGTTTCAAGAGATTACAGTACAAGTGTGGGCATCTAAGAAATTTACTCTTGCAAGTGCTACTTCCAAGTGATAACTTAGAATATGGAACATAGATCTTTGCAAATTCCACTGCAGAAACAAAGCCTTAAGACTTTAAATGCACAGAAAAGTATGTCTATTACCTATCCTTTCAAAGTAAGTGTGCAGTTATTTAAATTGCCTTTGTCTTTTTCTTTTCAGCTGACATTATCTCTACGGTAGAATTCAACCACACAGGAGAATTACTAGCGACAGGGGACAAGGGGGGTCGGGTTGTAATATTTCAACGAGAGCAGGAGGTAAGTGGTGGTGAATGCAAAATGCCTATTTTCTTCTCTTTTTAAAGGTGGCCTCCTACTGTTTCTTAATCCTTGTGTGTTGCCCTTAACCTTGCTGCTTTGCTAGCAAACTGAAAAAAAAAAAAAAAAAACTGCCAAAAATTCATTACCATCAACAGCTCCATATTTAGGCTCACAAAAACACCTGAAAATAGAGGGGTTTTTTCTGGCCTGACTTTATCTTTCCTAGCCTGGGTATTGCACATTCATAACATGACTTAGCTTTTCGTCTGACCTGCAAAATTCCAGTGGTGTGGTGTTTGTTGCATATAACCCCCACATTTTGAGTGGGATTTTGACCTCACTCTCTTGAAATTCAGTCTCCTTTGGTTTCAGAGGTTGCCAGAATGTAAAAGAATAAGAAAAAATACATATGTATGTATGTATGTATGTATGTATATATATATATATATATATATAGTCTTTTTATTTACCGACAGATATACAAAGGACAACTTAGGTCAGTAGAGAAGAAAATGATAGGTCGGCCTACCAAAGGAAATGAGATTCTACAAAATGACTTCTAAATAAAAAATATGTTTCACACTCTATTGTAGGTGGCTCACAGTTCCCTGGAATTCAGTGCAGCACTATTTCTGAGCAGGGGTTCTAACTTTCAATGAATCTCAAAAAGCCCCTTTCTCCTGAGACTTGGGTTCCACTAGGAATCGTTTCTCTTTTTTGTATAAATTAAGTTGGTGTCAGCTTCTGTTTTGTCAGAACGGAATTATGGCCCAGTTGGATTTCCTTGGCCTTCCTAGCATGCCCTTGGAACTTCCAGCAGGCTGATCTCTGTGCTAGTGAGTCTCCCATCTGCCACCCGCCTGCCTCCCAGATCCATGTTGCAGTAGGGAAGCGCAGGGGGAGGCCCAGTGCAGCAGAACCTTTTCACAAGAGGCTTCCCTACCAATTTAAAGCCTGTTTTGTGCCTCAAAGCCAGTTGTGTTACACCTCCCCTCGAAAAGGAAAGCCTCATTTAGAAGTGATATATTTGGTAATTGCACATTATTTGCAATTAATTTCTATAAGGGCATCAGAAATCCCTCGGGGGTTTTGTATAAATTCAAGTGTTCAGCATTAAATCAGACACCCGGCCTATTCCATTGGCCCTGGATACACGAAAATGTGTTTGGCAGTAGGAACTAATAGCTCTTCGTGACCTGGAATCTTTCCTGCTTTCCAGAGCTGCCTGGTGTTAATTGGTCTGGCACATACTACATACACTTGACAATCTGATTTGGATGATAGCAAATCAACACTCATAAATTTATGTTAAGGTGGACTGGCTCTCTCATCATTAAGTAGGATAGTACCAAGGATGTCAGCATTAAAAGTCCTTTTAACATTGATTTTCAAATCTTCTCTGATTTTTTTTTTAAATCCAATTAGATTCACAGTGATGATAAAGAGGAACCAGAGGAGCTATTTAGCATAAATTACCCAAGGCAGCATGTTGCCAGTAATATTCCGCTCTACTTTTTCAGTTAGCTATTTATAGGTTTCACCTATTTTAATTTATTGAAATGTTTGGGAAGCCTAATTCATTAGTGGAATTATGAGGGACATGCTTTCAAAAGCGGGAGGTTTTGTTCTTAAAAAAAAAAAAAAAAAAATAGGTGTCAATTTGGATGAATAACGTGCAGCTAAATTGTTTAGCTTTATAAAGTTTTTGGGATTGGAATGAACAGTAAACCTGAGAAATAAAGCCATGTGACAACCATGTAAGCCAGTCCTTCTTTCAACTTTTGGGGCTGACTCATCAGGAAACACATTCCGAGGGTATTTACTTACAGGGACCCCAGCACCCTCACAAATGCATTTAACACCTAGGCTCAGCATCACTACCCATTGGTAAATTGCGATTTTAATTTAAGTGTTCTATACCCACATGGAAAGATAATAATTTCTTTTTTTATTTAGAAAATTAAGCCTTATATTAAAACTGAAGCTTTTGAAACATATGTATAATGAGATTTGCATTTGTATTTTTGAAGCTGTTGGTAATCAGATTATAAACTACCTAAAAGTAAAACTCCCTTCCTCTTTTCCCCTTCTTCTCTTTCTTTCATGCTCTCCTTTTCCTTCTTCCTTTTCTTCTTTCTCTTACCCCTTTCTAGATAATCTTTTCCCCATGTATTTCATTCATTTATTACTTGTTTAGTTCCTGTGGTTTGCTTTTGCGGGATTGAGCATTAAGTTGCTAACCTTAATGGTCAGTTATTTGAACCTACTGCTCTGTGGGAAAAAGATGAGGCTGTCAGCTCCGCAGCATAGCGATCCTGTACAGGGTTCCCAAGGAGCAGCTGGTGAGTTTGGGACCTTGTGGTTCAAACCAACATTGCAGTCCAGCGCCACACCAGGAAACCCTATGGAGCAATTTTATACTGTCCTATAGGGACACTATGAGTAGGAATTGACCCAAAGACTGTGAGTTTGTGTTTACTCTTTGCAAAATTGGTGCTAGGTGGTAAACCAGAGGTGAATTATCACCTTTCTGTGACTGATACAACTGTTAGACCTATGGTGAGATCTGTTCTGTTATCTATATTGAGAAAGAGGAGAGGAGGTCAACCATGCTTAGATCTGCAGGTTCTGAGCTTTTTGACCTTGGACAAGTCATTTTAACATCCCTGTGCCCTATCTAACTCTGAAACATTCTGTGAGTGTCTGAAAAGATTTTAATAAAAGACGGCTAAGAATTGTGGATTGTACAACTTTATACTCTTGTCAGGGATTGATGCGAGTATATGTAGACTCCAGCATGAGATGCCTCACTCCAAAGAGTAAACCCAACATGCATCCATCACATCACAAAAAGGAAAATATTAGAACCTCTATGTGTATTCATTTTAAAACCTTGTCCTAGTTCAATTTCCATGAGTACTTAATTATGTATACCATGTATTTGGACTCCTGGTGTGGCACTATAGGATAAACACTGGGCTGCTAACCACAAGGTCAGTACTTCAAGCTCACCAGCTGCTCCTTGGAAACCCTATACAGGGTTGCTAAGAGTCAGAACTGACTCAACGACGCTTAACAACAGCAACTACCACATATCCATACAAAAGTTCATGTATATGATATATTTTGTGTATATTATATATAAT